TATAACGTTTTTAAGTAATATTAAAAGTTTATGTTACCTTTATGAAAATGCCGAGAACAAACACACATGTGGGGGAATGTTTTGTTGAAAATGAGATCCTTTCTCCTCACTGCTGAAAGCCAGGCCATGCGACGTCTCTTTGTTATTTCCTCCAATTGAGGTCCATGTGATCGTTTCCAGGTTGGAAAACGGAAAAAACGGATTCCTTCGTCCACCGATCTGCCATGCCGGGACCGGCAGCCTACCACACAACACGATCGTGTCATTTCTGGAAAATAACTGTGCCGAAAGAACAGGGTTACCTCGCCTTTCCACCTAATATGGTGGTTTTCCCACGATGCACCGCGCCCGAGGTAAACAATTGACGTCACTTGGTGGAGACCGATTGCGCCATCAACGTCTTCTTCTTTTTTGTGGCGCTTGGCAAGCAATTTATTGATGCGCATTACCGCCATCTACTGGAATGGAGTGTGGATCGGAAGTTCTTCTTCGTCTGTCTTCTTTTTTTTCTCCTTCTATGTGAAGTATAATGGCGGTTGCCAAACAAAAGGTGAAGGTGTATTGTCGCCACCTACTGGTATAGATTGTGTAGCAAAATGTCTGTATTCTAGTTAATATATATTTACCTGCTAGATAATGTTTTATACTAATTATGACCATTTATGTACGGTCTATACTTCTATAATATGATAAATACAATTTATTCAACAACAATTACCTAAACATTTATGTTTTATTCTTTAATCTTTAAAACATCTAATTTAAATGTAATTTTGATTAAAAAAAATACTAATGTTAGAAATGTAAATAAAAAATGAATTTTTTTAGAGCTGTTTTAAACAAAATTTCTATAAAATAAATCTGTCTAAGTCTTAATCAATAAATAAACTTAACAATCCTGTCCCTTTAATATCTTAGTTCTACTTTCTTTTCTAATCGATCGATATATTCATTGAATCGCTATCCTTTTAATATTATTTATCTTAAATGACTTTGTTTTATTTACATCTGGATTAGTTGTTATTCCATCTGTCTCCCACCTTGTAAAAGTGTTTTTTCAACTTACCTCTTTCAGTCCTAAAAATTTTCCAGCTCCTTTTGCAATTATTCTGATATTTTCTGTCTTGTTGTTAACGTGGTTAGCGCGGTTTAGGACATAATCTATGAATAATTCTCTTTCTCTGGAAAGTTTCTTCCATTTCTACTTTGCTTTGTATTTGGGATGTGATTCTGTGCTTTATTTGCTTTATTTTTTTATTTTGTTCTTGAACATTCCTCACTGCTGCATAGCTTATATTTTTTGTTGATTTAACGTGTTGTATTTCCTGTGCTTTCTTTCTCACCTCGCATCCAGCATAGATAACTCTTCATCGACCTCCACAGTTCCAACACCTTTCTTCAGCTTCTTTCTTGTACTTCATTCTGTGTTTTTCCCTAATAACAGCTACTCCATTGCAGCTTTTACTTCCCTGATTCTATTAGGGAAAAAGATCTCAGGGTATTAATTTATAAATCATTTATTTTTATTTTTTTTAATAAATTCATATTCTGAGATAATTTGTTATTGATACTCAGCATCTCATGTTTGTTTTCAGCTTCAGTGTCTTTGATGTCTGAAAACTCCACTGCAGATTCTACTGTCATCTTGATTCTGTCACTTCTTTGTTGCCATGATGTGACATTGGGAACTATAAATAAAAGTAATAAAGCTCTTTTTTCTACAATCATTGCCTTTTGCTTCACTATACAGTTATGAGCATATATTTTTTATAAAATCTCTGTCCTCCCTGACTGACTTTAGTATATTCTCTGGGGTATTTCACCAATGTTTTATACATTTGTCCTGCTCTTGTTCTCCCACACATTTTTGCACATCTTTAGCATTAAAAGAACATTAACCTTTTGGATAATAAACTTTTAATGCTTGGATCCAATAACACTATTGTCTTACCTTTCAATTTTATTATTTTCCCAGTGAAACCACATGATTTATAGGCTACTAACTGAAAATGACTGCACTTGTTTGTAGATTGATATCAGGAAATTCCTCACATGAAGCAGAGACAGGGAAGCAGTAAAACAAGATGAGAGAGGGAGGTAAGGTCCCCTAATGAATTAGTGATTTAAGCTAACTAGTTACATTAGGAACGTTATAAGCAATATGATAGATATTTACTTAATTATAAATTTAAGTTTTTTAATGTTTGCTGTAGAGAATGAGAATGAAGGTGCTGGAGTAGCAAAGGGAGGAGGAGGCGAGACTGACAGGCAAGAGACAGGAGAGACAGGACCATGAAGGTTATGAGGGAGCAACAACCAGCGTCCACAAACAAGAAGGGGACATTAGGGGAAAGCATGATGGTCCTAGACAAGTGAAGTTGTCCCACTATCCCCCCACTATCCCCAGGACAAATTTGGAGTAAAAAAACGTTCATTTAATTCAAAATGGTTTGAAAGCTTTTCCTGGTTGAAAAAGAAAGCCTTGTCATCAAGGATATGCAGTGTGTTTTCAACTTGCTTGATGACATCATGTTCCCCACACTAACGCAGGTCATCCAGATCTCCCTCAAAATCACATTCTACAGCTGTAGTTGTGAAAGGTCATTCAGTGTGTTGAGAAGGCTCCAAACTTGGCTGAGGTTCACAATGGGACAAGACAGGCTCCATCATCTTGCTATTTTATCAGTTAAGGAAGAACTTTCTAAGCTGAGGCACAGTCTAGTGATTGATAATGAAAAATAGGAGGTACACTTTAATGCTCAATAAATAAAAGAAAAACTTAGTTCGGGTTGAGTTAAACTTTCCCCTGAACTAAAACTCTGAAACCTAGGAATTAATGATTACTTCAGAAAGAGTATAAGTAAACTTTTTATTTTTAAAGTTGGTAATGTTTATTTTTTATCGCTGTAATATTGAAAATGTTCATGTTTGTTAAAATAAATATGCTCTTACACTCATTAATATCTCAACTGGTAATTTTGGTAGGAATTTATCAGGGTGGGGGCAGTGTGCTTGTCTGTATTTGTGTATGGCAGGAGGGGCATATGCGGTAGGGGGCCAGTGCCCCAGTAAAGCTTTGTGCCTAGCAACGCCCCTGCTGGGAAACCTTCAAAATGTGAAGAGAAAAAAAACAAAGATAATTGATTGTCGAATGTCTTTAGCTATGATGAAATAAATAAAAATGTTTATTGTTTATTCTTACTTGTGAAATGTAATCCTACGTGATCTGCTCTGAGTACTGCGCCGGTTATTGCAGCCGTTAGCAGCACAAACTACGGGCATAGTTTCTCTCTGTGTTTAAGCTAAGTGAGGAGAGACCCATCCAACATGGCGGTGACGCAGAACGAAGCTTCTAAAAGCACGACGCGGAACCTTTTGGTCAACACACTGTACTCTATCGGAGGTAGTTTGCTGTAACACAGTTGACTTCCGCTTGTCATTCAGCTGCCAGACGGTGTACATTAAATCAGCTATTTAATCCCAGTAAGTTAAACTTTTTATTTTATTTTGTTGTTGGTTAAATGTATAACAGTTATATGTATCGGTTCACTGAATGAAACACACTTTATTTGTTTATTCATACCGATATTAGATAGGGGCAACGTAAAGATGAAGGTGAGGTTAATGTAGCTTAGCTAGCTGATGGTTACATTTCAATGCTTTTCAACGATATGTGATCATTTTTTATAAATCCTTTTTTTCAAACAGTTAATTTGATGTTTCTTGAAACAAATACTAAATGAACGACTATCAGACTGTTTTTTTTTTCTAGTTAATTATATGTGGGTGAATTTAATTAGCCATTTAAAACATTTTATGCATGTGTTAAGGAGGTAAAAGCAACTTGTCGATCAGTCACTGTGACTTTAATATATTGTCATCTGTGAGTCATTTATAAGTGTGAGATTAGACCTATTCCGTAGTGAGTATTTACTGTATCGATTGGCCTGTGAGGATCAGTTTTTAATCATTTAATCATACTTACCTTAAACCTGTGTTTTTTTTGTTGTTGTTGTTTTTTTTGTCTCTCTGCACAGGGAGCTGATTTTCATCAACAGGCGCCATGACACTTTTTCACTTTGGAAACTGCTTTGCCCTGGCTTACTTTCCTTACTTTATCACATACAAGTGCAGTGGCCTGTGAGTGTTTCATGTTTTTGTGTTTATAAATGACTCAATTAAGAATTAGAGAAATTAAATGGTCATTTGTTATAATAAGTAGACTCCTGCTTCATGCAGCACTCAGCTGCAGCACCAACACATGCTCTGAGAATCTTATTTTATCTCATAAGCTTCTTAGTAATGTTAAGTTTGGGAAGAGGGGGCCTATAATCCTTTTAGGACTATGTAACGTGCATTTGGACCAGTCCCAGCTATTATGGTATCACATCATTAAGAAAAATTGCTCTTATATTTCATAAATCTGACATAACTTGCACTTTATGTCCTAGTCCCACTAACTAACCTAACTTTGTTTGTTTTTCTGTTCTTTAGCTCCGAGTATAATGCTTTCTGGAGATGCGTCCAGGCTGGAGCAACGTACCTGTTTGTCCAACTGTGCAAAGTAAAGAAACTGTTTCTTCTGCCTTCATTTAGAAATGGAGTGATCAGAATAGTTTTAGTTGATTAGCAGTTTCTGGGGTTTTAATGAAAACTGTACTAGAAATGTGTTTTATTTCTGTTTTTTTTTTTTCACACTAATTGAAATGTCTTTTAATCCAAATTAACATGAATTCAACACACTGTAGTAAACAGATAAATGGAGGCAGAAGATGTCTTTAAGTCATCAATGCTCACATTCAGCGACACACAGGAGCTCTTTCAATCTGGGCACCGTTTCATTCACAACACCTGTCCCATCAACCAGGAATCAGAATTAGAAATACTTTAATAATCCCAGGGAGAAATTACTTTCGTTACATGACTCCATCTGTTATAGAGTGACTTTAGGACCAGTTTGATATAACACAATTTCATACAATATGTTCATATAATTAGGGGGTCCCGCTCCATCTTGCCATCAGTTTGGGGGCCCTTGGCCTGGAAAACGTTGAAGGCCCCTGATTTATACTATGAAAAGGAGCGGCGTCACTTTATATATTAGTGTAATCACTCCCTGTAAAACAGGGTTAGAATAATATTTTAACTGAAGACTAACTTGGAATTCAATTATTTCCAATGTTTTTAGTATCATTTGTTATTAAATAATGTGGTAATTTTAGATGGCTTTACTAAAACATTCTTCTTCTTTGTATTAGGATGAAAATGAAGATTTTTTTCTAAACACTGTTTGAATTTACAGTTTAAATATTAACCATGCCTTTTCTGTCCTGATAAACATTCATGACAGAAAGGCTCACGGCACATTAACTGAATCATTCAGCCTTCATATTGTGTGCAGGGAGTCTCTTTCCTCTAGTTTCAGTTTTACATACCTTACTCCAAGGAAACTAGCTAGCTATGAGACTTCTTCTCTCATTAATCTAAAAACAATTATGATTTTTGAATTATTACCTGGATTCTGGTTGCATCTCTTCTCCCGTTAATATCTGAACCGTTTCTGAGCATCAACAGAAAATACATCGTTATACAAACTGATGTTCTTCTGTTGGAGAGCTTATAAACATCCTTCTCTTCATCCTTTATCTTTCTGTCTGTTAGATGCTGTTTCTTGCTACATTTTTCCCCACCTGGGAAGGAGGAGCCGGCGTTTATGACTTTGTTGGGGTGAGTCTTAAAAGTTTATTGTAGAACGAAAATCAGATAAAAATCTGTAGCCCTCTTTAGATTATTTTTCGTTACTAAACTCTCCTGTAAGTCTGTCCAGATTGGGAGTCATGTTGGCTGCTTTCAGTTAGGAAAACATGCAGATCATGAAATCAAAGATCTAAAACGGACTTTTATTCTAGCCTCCACAAGATAAGACTTAACATGGAATAAAAATGTGTTGATTTCTCAGGAGTTCATGAAGTCCACAGTGGACCTGGCCGACCTGTTGGGTCTTCATCTAGTGATGTCTCGTAATGCTGGGAAAGGAGAGTATAAGATCATGGTTGCTGCCATGGGCTGGGCCACAGCAGAACTTGTGATGTCGAGGTTAGCACCAACTCTCCTGCTGCAAACAAACATATTTCCTATAAAATTTATCCACATGTATAAATACTTAATATCTTTTGTTTTGGTACCTTGATGTTTCTTCAGGTTTCTCCCTCTCTGGGTCGGCGCCAGAGGAATAGAGTTCGATTGGAAGTACATCCAGATGAGCTTTGACTCTAACATTAGTCTGGTGAGCAGCTTCACTATAATCACCCTTTTTCCTTTCTTTCCATTTAAACCCTGATAGCTCATGTTCCTGATGGTTCTGTTTGTTTGGGCTTATTTATATTCTAGATTTGTTAACCTAAATAATTGTGTGTTTAGGTCCATTATATCGCCATGGCAGCTGTTGTTTGGATGTTCACCCGATATGACCTCCCTAAGAGCTTCAGGCTGCCGGTCACTGTGCTGCTGGCCCTGTGTGTATATAAGGCCTTTTTAATTGAGTAAGTCACACACTCTGTTACATAAAAACGACAGCGTTACAGATCTCTGTGAAAAACATTTAAAGCATAGATTTAGACTGAAACAGGCGCATCTACTACATGGCTGAGGTGTTTTGCTTATTGCATACCTGAGCAAAATAATTTCTTCTTTTCAGAGTTTGTAGGTAGTCATGTGAACCACAGGATCTCTGATGGAGTTTTTGCAGCTACACCTAGAGAAATAGATCTATATGGAGTGTTTCTTTCAGTGATTCAGGTGGAAATAAGCTGGGAAGTGTGTTTAGTATTGTCATATAGAAATGATGCAATTTTTTCATAAATATGTTTCTTTTTTTATTTTAGTTTTTTTTAAAATATATTTTATTAATGTGTTTGTTTAGATAAACCTGCATAGCTTGTAATTAGGCTAATCAGTGAACCCATGGCTGTTCATTATGATGGCGGTGATGTCACTGAACTTAGATATTTTCTCATGTTTCTTCATAGCTTTCCCTTTTTTCTCTGCACTGAGACATGTTGCATTTTCAGGGTGATTTACTGAGACCAAGCTGCATCTCTCAACTTAAAGGCCAGGATACGCTGCTCACGTCTCATGGCACAAGCTTCAATGTAGCTTCTATTATTTCTGCTACACTGGCTGCTTAGAAGCTCCCACTATGCACAGTGTGACCAGATGTCCTGATTTATGCAGGACGGTGCTGCACTTATCATTTCCCTATCAGTTTTCCACCAATGAAAACAATGTCCTACACTTACTACATCAAATCTTGAAAGGTCCAAAAAGAAATGAAACATTCAGGTGCTTTTATTAAATGTAAAAAAAAAGCCGAGCTACAGTCATTGTTTAAGATCTGCTCCACCTGCCAATCAAAATACAAAGCGGCACTTTGAGGGATTTTTGAAGCTCAAAGAAAGTCGCCTTTTTACTTGACCCATCTTTAGTTCTCTGAGCTCATACCACGTTTATATAACTATTTGAATTAATTTTTCCAAATGGGGCAAACCTGACTGTTTACCTCCAGATTTGCTTTTTATTTTGCCCAAAGCAGATGGTTTTATTTCCTCAAGGTTTCGCTCTCTCCGGCTGACTCAAGACATCCCTGTTAAGTTGCTGTGTATGTCCTTAAAGAACAGACCAGTGGTCTGTCGTTCAGAGCTATACAAGCACAGCTGCAGAGAATCATGTGTGGTCTGACAGTTGCATGCATTTTCCATGAGATGTAATTTCCCTAATTTCTTACCCTCCAATTCTCCATCAGAGTGGCCGCTAAAACATTTCCACTGTTTCCCAATAAATAGGAATATAAGAGAACATTAAAATGTGATCTGTAAATGAGGCTGTTTTTACATCTGTTGAGGTTATTTGTTCATGGATCAGTCTGTAGATTTACAGTCAAGGATTAAGTCAGGTTGGTTTTTGTAACTTATTTATTTTTTTCTTATGTCCTCAGGTTGTTCGTCCATGTGTTCGTTTTGGGCAGCTGGACAGTGTTGCTGGTGAAAGCTGTGCTCACCGGCGCCATCTCTCTCTGCTCGCTTTTCCTTTTTGTCACCCTTGTTCACAGCAACTGAAGAAATCACAGCACACAGAATAAATCCTCAACAGTCACAGTTCCAACTGGAGTTAGAGTCAGTGTGACCAATGAAGTTAGTTTGAAAATGATTGGTGCCGCTAGTTGGAGCGGACTGACTTGATCCAGGAACTGGTACAGCGACCAGCTTCTCCAGTTTCTATTGATC